GGCTCGACAAAAACCATGGAGATCTAGCTCCGCCTCATCAGTTACCATGGAGATCTAGCTCCGCCTCATCAGGTACCATGGAGATCTAGCTCCGCAGCATCAGTTACCATGGAGATCTAGCTCCTCAGCATCAGTTACCATGGAGATCTAGCTCCTCAGCATCAGTTACCATGGAGATCTAGCTCCGCAGCGTCAGTTACCATGGAGATCTAGCTGTGCAGCATCAGTTACCATGGAGATCTAGCTCCACAGCTTCAGTTACCAGTTAACTCACTGATTGGTGTTAATGTTGAGCTTTAAGGATCCTTCAGATCGGCTGTTTAAAGATCTTTATTCTCCTCCACAGTCATCTACAGCACCAAACTCTATCGCTTCTTCAAGTACATCGAGAACAGAGACGTGGCCAAATCAGTGCTGAAGGACCGAGGCCTGAAGAAGATCCGGCTCGGCATAGAAGGTGATCTATTGTGTTTTAAACAAGACGACTGAGTTAGTTTACCAGAAATGTACATGGACACCAGAACACCCGTTTGAAAGTACAAAACCCATCACGAATTATATTTAATTCAACCAAATTGTGCTTTAAATTCTGAGTTTGGCTTTTAACGTTGGCAATGCTGCAGCTTGTCCCACAAAACATGACGGTAAATAAGAGTTCAGAAATCATTTATGATCAACAGTTTAACAGTCACAGGAGACTTTTATCTGCTCTGAGTTATTGTAAGGAACATTTGAAGGGACTTTCATTGTGTCATTAGTACTTTTACTGAAGCAAAACATCAGAGTCCTTCTTCCATTTCCATCAGCAAACACTGAATGATGTCATCAGCAGCGTCAGAAAAAGATCATTAAAGTTCATCAAAGTGCAGCCAACAGACGAGCTGTTATGTTTATCTTTTAGTTATTCATACGGTTTGTTTACACATTTTTATTTGCACCAGTTTCCTGAATATAAGTATTGTTCCTTTAAAGTAGAACTTTGTAGGAATTCTCTGAACTTTACGGGTTTCTGTAGTACCAAATATCTCAACTAGGGATGTTAATAAATGGTCATTACTTGTATAAATACTATTCATATATCACATCTAATATGTTATCACAAGAAGACAAAAAAAAAAAAAGTCTTATGTGTCATCGACCAGCTGTAGTACCTGGTTGTTCCACCAGGTGGAGCCTCTCACTGTTTAATCCTGTAGAGATCAGAGGAGGCGTCACTCAGACTACAGCTCATGGTGGCAGCAGAGAGCATTGTGGGAGTTTAGCAGCAACGGGACCATGACAGAGACTCTGAGGAGGTTCAGGACCTCCGATCAGAGCTCAGCTGTTTTAGACGAACCAGAAGACAGATTCCTACATACGAGATGTCATGATGTCTGAGACTAAAAATGTCTGTCGGAATACAGGATATTGTTGAGTTCTGTTTATTTTACCGACTAATCCGTTATTGATTGATTATACTGTTAACTGTTGGTTAAAAGAATTGTTTAGAGTTGGTACTCCTATTTCTGACGCAGGTTTTTAAGTTAATCTAAGATATTTTTTTTCATGTATAAATAAATGAATCTCAACAAAGTGTTTGATTTTATTCGTAATCAATATTAATGATTATTAATGTCCTAAACCGAACACAACCTACCGTAAATTCCAGAGGATTGAGGCACCTGAATATAAGCCACACCTCCTGACTTTAAACAGAAAACCAGGTGTGTACATATACAGGCTGCACTTGTCTCTAAGCTGCAGGTGTCCACATTGTAGCATGAGATCAGAAAGAAAACTTTTAATTAAATACGTACCGCTAACATACACAAATGCTTTTTTCCGAGCAGCGCCGGTAACACGGCTGGTTAAGAAAATAAAAACTCGTAATGACGTAATCACTGAAAGTTGAACCACAAAGAGGCGTCAGAAAGTCCAGGCCTTGTTCCTCAGTGACCAACCACATTAGTTTGTTAAATCTAAGAACCAGGAGGCTAAATGTAAGTCTAAAAATATCATCATGGTCTTAGCTGCTAAAATGCTAGCATTTCAAACCAATATTGGAGGCTCCACTTGGTGGAACAACCAGGTACTACAGCTGGTCTACGATACGTTTACTGACATGTACGACCTTCTTCTTCGGTCTTATTGGTCAGCTGTTAACATCCCTAGTGTTGAAGCAGCTACCATGTAGGTCTGACCTGTACGATCCCTGAGCTGTGTGTTGTCTGACTCACCTGGCAGGTTACCCGACCTACAAGGAGAAGGTGAAGCGTCGCCCCGGCGGCCGTCCTGAAGTCATCTACAACTACGTCCAGCGTCCGTTCATCCGGATGTCGTGGGAGAAGGAGGAGGGGAAGAGCCGCCACGTGGACTTCCAGTGCGTCAAGTCCAAGTCCACGACCAACCTGGCGGCCGCCGCCGCCGACATCCCCCAGGACCAGCTGGTGGTGATGCAGCCGCCGGGGCCGCAGGTGGACGAGCTGGACACTCTGCCGCCGCCGCCACCGGGGGGCGCCGACCTCCACCAACCGCTGGGGCCGGACAGCAACCCGCTGCCCCCGCCGGCCTACGAGGCCCTGAACCAGCAGGACAGCAGAGAGCACAGCGTCGCCCACGGCAACCAGCAGCACACTCAGGCCACCTACCACTACGACCCCGACCCCGACACGCCGTCGCCCTCCGCATGAAGCCCACGACGCCTCCACACGGCCGCCCTGACCTCTGACCCTCTGGACGGGTTCAGGAGGATCGACATCGGCCTCCAGAGTCTGAAAGTCGTCTTGAACTTAAAATCAGTTGGTCCTCAATCAGCTGGTTCTGGATCTACTGACCAGAGTTCTACCTTCCTGCTGTGAATGTTCCAGAG